CATAGTGAGTCCCGGGAAGACCACTCCAGAAGGGTCTTTGTGTATTTGTTTCCCCAACTCAAAGGTTTCTGATGTCAAAGTTAGAATCTGGTGGGTGAGAATATCCACTGAAAATACTTCCAGGCATAGGCTTTAAGATTTAGAATTCCTCAAGGCAATGTAAAATATTTGGAGCAAACCATGAATTAATCACAAATATTATGAAGGAAGGCTTGAGAATGATTTGTACATAATATTTGTGACTAATACTGGCATCTTTCTTAGAGTCTGTAAGGTCACATACTGCCGGTGTTATATGTATACTTAGGAGTCATCTGAAAACAGAAAAGATGTTCTAATTTTTGCTTTATTTTAAGAGTCTACACAAGTGGAAAACTTGTCTTTGAATGTTAAAAAAAACTGTTTATGTGTATTAAACTATACATGGGGGTGCTTGGGAGAGATTAGAGGGTTTCTGGTTTTAGGCATTTCAGGAAACTTGCATTCACAAGATAGGTGTCTGCCAAGCTGACAAACAGACTTCAGTGGTCCCAAACTAAGACATGAATACAAACACATAGATAAGATAATACACTAAAAAACAAAGAGCAAAACTGATGTTTGACATGAAAGAGGCACTCAACATAATTACCAAAGTTGTAAACAACGAAGTTGTAAATAATGATAGAGACCAGAAGACACTCATATCTCATGGTCAGAATGTTGAAAGAAAGACTGTCTTCCAATAATTCTAAACTTTCTAAACTAAATTTTGCAATATAACTAAACAGTCAAGTATTATTTTTATCAGAATAGTGACAACAATAAAAAGAATGAAAATATATAAAGTAAATATATGTATGATGTGTCATATTTTATTCTCAGCATCTACTTAACCTCAGATATCTTTATTAAAGTAAATGTTGTCATTAGAAAAACTTGAGTAAAGTATCATCAACCTGATTGAAAACCTGCTGGATACTAACTCAGATTGACAACAGAAATAAAAAATTATCTGTGAACATTGCTCTCTGAGCAAATGTAGAAATAGTTAAACTATACATTTTTTTCTTTGCCATCGTGTTTTACTCAGAGTTTGAAGAGACATGCACAATGCAAGAGTTATATATTTCTATGAAACAAGCATAAATATATAATGGCATCATTTGTGATGGAATTACAGTAAGACAAAACGTGTATGCTGTTGATATTTTGTTGTCATTAATGTAAGTTATGTTATTATAAATTTTAGGGCCCAAGATAACAGCTATAAAAAATAGTTCAAAATAAAATGCTAAAATGCTCTGTTTCTTTTAACAAAATGGGTATCCATATACTTTATAAATATAGAGCATTCATTTTTATACTCTCAATGTCTAAGATGAGGTGAGTCCATTTGCTTAGCCTCTAGTGAGGGACTAATGGCATATGACATCAGAATAGTTGAGAATGCTTCCTGATAAAATCAATAGTGAGACAGAAAGCCAGGGCTATTCAAGGACATGACTTAAACTCTCTGTCTCTTCTGGGTCTTGTGCTCCCTCTCCTCTCTCCTTTCTCTTACTTGTTTTGCTTGCCCATTTTCTCTTTCCTTTTCTGCCTTAGTCTCAGTCAAGCTCTCCTATGCATTACCTTAATGCATTTTGTGAGCAGCATCTCTATGGTCCAGTCATTGTCAAACTGAACCTTTCTCCAAGAGATTCCAACACTTCAACCATCTTGTGGATACCAGAACTAGTTAAAATTTGGGATACACTAGAACCATTTAAAATTTGAATACACTAAAATAATATCCAAACTGTCACATAAATCAAAACAAAAGGAAATTAATGTAGTAAACAGTGTTTTAGGAAAGATGTCTTTTCATTTTTGTATTTTATATTATAGGCATATGCATACACAGCTATGCTTACGTTTCCTTCCCTGTTCATCATGGAAAGAAGTCATGATAGGAACTCAAACAAGAATGGAACCTGGAGGCAGGAGCTGCCACAGAGGCCATGTTAGGGGTGCTGAAGACTGGCTTGTTCTTTATTGCTCAGTCTAATTTCTTATAGTACCCAGGACCAGCAGCCTAGGAATAGCACCAACCACAATTGACTAGGTCCTCCCTCATCAATCACTAATTTAAAAAGTACCCTAAAGGATTGTCCAAAGTCAGATCTCATGAAGGCAATTTCTTTCATTTGTTTTGAAAATTTATAAATAGTCCTCTCGTACCTTGCATCTTGACTGTAGTTATTTCACTCCTTCTACTTCCAGCTCTTCCCTACTTCCTCTCTCCCCAGTATCCAGTCTTCTATTTCCCTTCAGAAAAGAGAAGCCCTCTCAGAGATACCAACCTAGAATGGCATAACAAGGTACAATAAGTCTAGGCAAAAGTTTTGAAAATAATCAAGGTTGAACAAGGCAACCCAATAAGAGGAAAAGAATCCCAAGAGCAAGCAAAAGAGTCAGAGATACAACTGCCCATACTGCTATGAGTCTGACAAAAGACTGACTACACGACCATAATGTATATGTAGAAGACCTAGCTCAGACTCTGGAGATTTCATGATTATCGTCGCTCCAGAATCTGTGAGCACTGATGAGCCTTAGAAATCTGATTCTGTCGGTCATGCCCTTGTTGTGTTCTTGACCCCTCTGGAGGCATTTTCTTATTACTTGTTTTAAATTAAATTTATATTTTTACTTATTCACTTTACATTCTGCTCACTACCACCTTCTTGGTTACTCCGTCCCATAATTCTTCCCCCATCCTTTCTCCCGTTTTCCTCTGATGGGGGCCCTCTGGGTATCCCCCTACCTGGTCATCTCAAGTCTCTATGAGGCTAGGAGCTTCCTCTCCCACTGAGGCTAGACAAAGCAGCCCAGCTAGACGATATCCCACATACAGGCAACCAGTTTTGGGATAGACCCCATTCTAATTGTTGGTGACCCACATGAAGACCAAGCTGCCCATCTGCTACATATGTGCTAGGAGGTCTAGCTCCAGCTCTGTTTGTTCTTATATTGGTGGTTCAGACTCTGAGAGACCCAAGAGTCAAGGTTAGTTGACCCTATTGGTCTTCCTGTGGAGTTTCTATACCTTTTGGGGCCTACAATCCTTCCTCCTATTCTTTCATAAGAATCCTCAAGCTCCATCCACTGTTTAGCTGTGAATGTCTACATCTGTCTGTCTGAGTCAGCTCAGGCATGCTCTCAGTAGACAACATATTCCTGTCTGCAAGCATAGCAGGATATCATTAACGATGTTATGGATTGGTTCTTGCCCATGGGTCCTGTTATTGGTTGGTCATTCCCTCAGTCTCTGCTCCATATCCCATGCCTGCATTTCTTGTAGACAGGATACATTTTGGGTTGAAAATTTGTGGGTGGGTTGGTGTCTTTATCACTCCTCTAAGGTTCCGGCCTAGCTACAGAAGGTGGCCTCTTCATGTTCCACATACCCAATGTTGTGAGTCACAGCTAAGGTCATCCCCATTGATTATTGGGTTGATCTCATATCTCATGAAGATCTCTGTCTCATCCTAGAGATGCCTCCCACTTCCTCACTCCCATCAGTTGCAGATTTCCACTCATTTTCACAGCCATCTAGCCATCTCGCCTGTCCTTTCCCACACCTGATCCTGAATCCTTGATTCCCCTCCCCATTCCCCTCCTTCCCAATTAGAGGCAGATGGAGGCATTTTCTTAATTGAGGCTTCTTTCTGTTGAATGACTTTAGCTTGTGTCAAGTTGACATGAAACTTTCCAGCATACTACTTAGCTGCTTTCTTGGTGGTGTTGATTTGACCTGTGGCCTTATTCATGCTGCTTAACTACTGTATTACTGAGCAACATCTTCAAGCCATATATTTTATTTTTCTTTCAAATATCCCTGATGTATGCATTACACGTCTGTTGGACTTTCAGTTGATTGTAGCCTTTTGAATATTTACTGTCTTCTCTTTCTCCCATTAATGTGAGTTGCTTGGCACCAGCAAAAAGATCTTTAAGAGAAAGAAAATAATTTGGGGGGGGGAGAAGGTACCAAAATATATAAACTATCCTTTAATTTATGCTTTTAAAAATTCACACATGAATATTATTTTTCCATAATTTCTATCCATCTCTTTAACCCTTTGGAATCCTCTTATATCCCCCATTTCCTCTCAAATTTATGATTCTTAAAACCATTGTTACATATACACCAAAAGACAGACAGAAAGAGAAAGCCTGTTGAGTCAATTTTGTGTTGCTTATATATGTATGTGTTTAGAAATGAACACTATACATTGGGTTGCCTGTCAGGAGCTTGTCCCTGGAGAAGTCTGGTTCTTCTTCTTTCTATAGCAATTAACTACCAGAATTTTTTTGTCTTGGAATGGGGCTTCATGGCTATTTTAAAATGGATATTTCTATCTTAACAAAGTTTTGGCTTAGTAGTTGGTCTTATTTCAGATAAAATTTAAGTGATGTTGCAGGAGATCCGCCTCCTCAAAGCTCAGCAAGCAGAGTTATTTCCACACTTACATGGTCATCCTTAAATGAGAAATATCTTAAATGCTTCTAATAATATTTCTGCTATAATAACAGTTGGGCTTTGGCCAGGTGCCTTAGCATCATTCATCTAAATAAAATCAATTATGAGGTCTTGTGGATGAGTTTTTAATACTAATTGAGCTGATGAATAACAGGTCCCTCGGAAGTGCCTGCGTATCATATAACTAATGATTTTTTTGTTATTGATTATTAGTGATTTTTAGTATTACCAGTCTTTTAAAATAACAAATGTACTTAAGAGACAGTGGAGTTAATACAGAATGAAGTAAAAAATAAAGGCACTTTCAGGGTTTGGTGTCTCTGCTTCAAGAAGTATGATAACTAAGAATAATGGTCTTGCTCTGTTTTCTAACTCTTGCCTAGTGATTAGAAATGCCAAAAAATAAAGTAGTTTCATAGGAAAGAAAATAATGACTTTGAGCTAGCCTCTCTGCCAATCACTGATTGTGCTCTGATGCCTGTCTCTTCGTTTACAGGAGTAACAACTGTTTTAACAATGACAACGTTAAGCATCAGTGCTCGGAATTCACTCCCCAAAGTGGCTTATGCCACCGCCATGGACTGGTTTATCGCTGTTTGTTACGCATTTGTCTTCTCTGCCCTAATTGAATTTGCAACTGTTAATTACTTCACGAAAAGAGGATGGGCTTGGGATGGGAAGAGTGTAGTAAATGACAAGGTAAGTGGGAGCCGCTTCTAATCTTATCTAAGAGAATTTTGAATGCATTCAGACCTGTTGAAGAATCCTTCCTAAAAACCAAAATTATGGAAATTGAAATTAAGTATCAATTTTCAGAAGTTTGTTCTTGCCTGAAATCCTTTAAGGGTTCTTAAGGTAACAGTGACACCTTTTAAATCAGTTCCTCAGTTTCTGTGGAGTTCTGTGTACAACATTGTTGTGGGTTCACACATGGTCTCCCTTAATCTTTGCAGTAAGGAGGGTTTCTTCTTAACTATAATCTTCCACAGTGAATAATCTCAAGCTCATCAAAGGTGTTGACTTGCTCCTGCTCATATAATTGACCAGTAAGTTTACTGGAACCTGGTTCTGTCTACTGAGAAAGTTCATGCCTTTAGACCATCAACAATACATTAAAATAGGGCCTTGGCAAGTAAAATGAGTGTTAATTTTACCTAGTGAAGAGTTCATGGATCTGCCGATGGGTCAATGACTCTTCCTGTAGCCCTATCTCTGTTACTGCTTTGTAAAAGTGAAGGTAGAATTTTCCTCTTTAATGTAATATGAAATAAATGTAAGAAAACTGAAATATCCAAGGATTTTCAGTTGGTCATGTAGTCTAATTGGGGAAACACACTTTTAATGTTAATCCTTAAGATTATTAATTCATATCTTTTCATATTTCAAGTCCTTAGGCTAATGAGATATTCGTCCATAGATAAACCGGTGGCTTCCTGTCCAATTTTATCAATTGGTATCTGCCTTAGGAAACAACTTTGTATATATTTTTATATGATATAAATATTTTAAGTACTGGAAGAAACTTTTATTTGGAAAGTTCCATTAAACACTATAATATCTAAATTTTCTCATAAATTTTTGAACACCATTTTTGTGGTTTGATTTTTGTTTTAGTTTTTGAATGAATGTAAATATTTATATACTTAATTTCTAACTATTTTACAGTTTGCCCATGCAAAGGTTTAATGATAGAGTTTAAGACATCTGTTCTTTTTTTTTCTCAGTTACAATCTATAGAGGTTCTAATTGTAGTTGCTAGTTTATTTGTAAGTTGTATTTGCTTACTAACAGGAGTAGGGATAAGATATTGAGTGAGACTTCTCAATTTTCTATGCTTAACTTCTGGTTGATTCCAGTACTGTTGATCTCTGCTGTTTTCATTTCCCATATAGTGACTTCCTCTTCTTTGTATCTTTGTGATTACTTCTCTTTAGCTAATTGGTTATACATATACTTTCTCCCTAGGCGACCTGACTATGACAGTGCACCACAGGCTGTTTCAGACTTTTGGTTAACTGAAGTTTTTGTTATAAATTTTGTAGTTGTAGAACACTGATGAGCGAACTTATTTATCTGAACTGGAAAGTTTTTTAAAACCTCCTAAGGGTTTTTCTGTATATGCCATTCAGATTTCATTAGATTCAATATTTTGTGGAAAATAAAATACAGAGGTTTTGTCCTTTCACAGTCAGTCGTCTGTGGACAGTCCTTCCTCTTGGCATTTATAACTCAAGAGAATGTAGTTTTGTTGTCAGTCAATACAGAGAATATCCAGAGCTCATTCGGTGATTTATGAAATAAAAAGTATTAACTTGACACGTCAAAAAATATTTAGTCATACATGTTCCTAATATGTGTTGAAAACAAGAAATGTGTACTTAAATGTTGTGTGTCTAGAATCCAGGCTTTACATGCAAGATTATGAACAAAGGATATTTAAAGATTTTTATGCATCAGCTACTTTTAAGCTCCCGGATCTTGATGGACCTTGATATCAGGTTTAGCTTTCCTTGTGACATTAGCAAAGCAAACTTTATTCTAGAAGTATACATCTGATCAAAGAGTCAAATTTTAAAAGGACACACAGTGTCTGTTTACAGAGCATCCAAGTACCTCTAAAACAATGTATAGCCTGTGGCTCTTCTCTATCCCCAAACTAATCTTAAGCTTCTGTTGCTAAAGCCTCTTCGGTGGCTTTCTCAGACTTTCTCCATTGTTACCTTCTTGTTCTATTTCTCCCATTTATCTGTCTCATTCACATTTTCCTGTGAAGAGGCTTAGTTATTTTGCCACAAGAGCATCACTGGCAGCCGGTACAATTCATTCCGCACTGTAAAGCCCTTTGCCACAGCCGAGTTTCTAGATCATGATCACGGTCCGCAGAGAAAGCTGCGTCAGACTTCTTTGATGCTTTTGCTTGTTTCTCGTTGTTTACAACATGGTTCTCAATTTCCAAGTTGTACTGATAAAATTTGTAGGAATACCTACAATATTAAATACATAATCAGTCCATTTGCTATCATAAATCATGCAATCCTTCATTATTGACATAAATTTCAGTTTTTAATGCTATTTCTGAGTATTGATTTCCAATACTATTGGGTCCCCTTAAAAGTGTATGCTTTCTCAATATTTAGAAAAGCGCAGCATCTTACATATTCTAACTATTCAGTAAATGTGCCATATATTATTGAAGTATCACCAGTTCAAAAATCTATAACCAATACTCTTGCCTTATGTCACACCAGTTGAGAACTGCCTATCCTGATCTAACACTGCAATCATTGAGAACTACCTATGCTGATCTAACATTGCAGTCCTTGAGAACTGCCTATGCTCAGATGTTTACAGTCATTTCCACATTTTCTGATAAAAAGTCAAAGACTAGGGCTGGAGTGATAGGTCAGCAGTTAAGTTCTGGCTGCTCTTCCAGAAGAACCATGTTTGGATTCCCAGGTCCTGCATGTTAGCGGACAGCTTTCTGAACTTGCAGTCTCAGGAGATCTGATACCCACTTATGGCCCCCTCATGCCCTGGAAACACAGTCAGTACACCTGTATATATGCAAAAATCACACATACATATCAGATACAAAAAAAGAATGGATAAATAAATAAATAGGACTTAAAAAGCTGGGACAGGGTAACTGATTCTGCTAAGTGTCTGGCCAACTGTTTGTACAGCATAGGTAATTCTTCTAACTCAATTTCTTAGCAATGAAAATGCACCAGTAACCTCAGCCTAGATTCACTCATGTGTCCTCAAATGCTGGAATTCCTAGTGTTAGTGTGCAACAGTGATGGTTGTGAAATTGTTATGACTAGGCGATAATATAATAATTAATAATCATGGCTGTCATCAACCTCTACATGTCACCTTCCCTCAAAAGACACAGAAAACAACAACCATAATGACAACAAAAGGAAGAAAATCCAAACTTATCTCCTTATTTGTCTTTTCTCTGTTTATATATGTACTTACCAGCAACTGATACCTCAGTCAGGGGCATGACAAAATATCACATTCCAACAAACGGGACTTTTTTATTTTTAGTATCTAGCATTAACTTATGCTCATTATTCTTCTTATAAACCTTATGCTATATCTCAGTATTAATTTATAGTTCTTTTACTGCTTCCTATTTTTAATGTTTTTTGAAATGCGCATTGTCGTCTTAGGGCAACCTAAAACATCAGTGCGGCTCATTTGTTTTTTCAGCTCTATGGTCAAGTGCTGAAGGCAGAATTCCAAGACTAATATGGACCACATAAGTAGTTTTCTCTTAGATTTATTTATATGATGAATGATAAGTAGAATTTCTCAACGTGTTATACATTTATATTTACATGCCTGTAAATAACTTTAATTTAAGTCTAGGGTTATTTTATCAAAATTACTTGGTCACGGACACACATTTTACAAGTGTTGAAACTGAAATACAAACTCTATAGGGTTGGTGCTCATATTCTAACTCTGCACATTACAAATCATAGGAACTTCACTCAAAATCTTATGTGTCTTCATGTCTCTGACATCAGACATTCTCCCTCTCCTTGGTGCAATATCCTTTCCTTCTCTGACTTCAAATTACCTGAAATGTCTTATCTTGACCTCAACATTTCCAGATTTATATAAATTGAGCCCCTTCACTGCTTTCCCAAAGCAATTGACACTAATATTTGTACAGTTTATTGAATCATGATTTTATTGTAATAATTTTTTTGCCACTAGATTGCAACATGTAGTAAAATTCCTATCTAATGAAATATTTATTTATTTTGTCCTATAAAACAGATTTCCTCTTCTTACATTTATTAAATTTTATTTAAACTTGTTTATAAATAGAATTCTATCATTTTGCAAAGCATTTCTGAGTCTGTTCTGGACCAATGCATATGCTAAGATCTCTGCAGGACATTCTTTGCTTTCAATTTGCTTATAATTAAATGAAAAAAAAGGGGAAAAGAGCATATATGTGTTATTATAGAGACTATTCCTAGAATACTGTGACAAAACATGGAAAGGCCACTTAAGACTAACACTTGGAAGTGCTGCCTCACTGAATGAGACTCAAAGCATAGTCATTGCTAACTGTAATTTTACAAACTCTAGTACATCTGATTTGAAGATCAATACAGGTTAATTATGAGGTTCTAGCTGAATTGTGGCCCCATTTATAGGTTAAAGTGTGAACATGAGTGAATGCATTTGGCCAGCAAAGGGGTAGATTTAAGCTGAGCTAACTTCCAATTGATTTCCTTTTCAATTACCAAAATAAAGTGAAGTACAGTGACTTGAGTTCTGTGGGAAAGATTTTTTTTTTATTGGTCATCTATGTATAGGTACTAGTAACTTCTTAAAATTAGTAAAAAGTAATATACCCTTTGCAATATTGCTCTCTATCCAGTGACTCCTATGTTTTTCCCTCCCCTCTTCTATATTGCCTGAGTCCTGGAAGAGAGGATTTGATATAGGATGTCCCATTTAAGAATCAAGAATCGTGTTCACTTAGCCTCAACAGTTTGATCAATTATGAGTCTCTGCATTAATCAATGTCCATTAAAAAGAGAAAAAAACTTAATGTTAAAAGCAGCACAGAACTATGGGCATCAAAATATAAATGTAGAAGGACGTTTAATAGGATTTTTTAATCTAAGTAACAAATAGTATGTTCCTCCCTGGGAGATGAATTCCTCACCCACCTACCCCAATTTAAATTTGAAGCTTGAATTCCCTCTTTTGGATCAGCTTTCAGACTATCAGAAAGTGTTTGGTTACTTTCTATATATAAGTATATAGGGGACATGCTGGTGACATGCCTTGTCTTTTCTCCTGGACTGGACTATGTAGCACCTTTTAACACTATCAAAACTAGCCATGAAGGAAAAGTTCCCTTGGCCAATGGGAGTCTAATTTCACTAAAGCATCTTCATGTTATGAGTCTGCTATGGACCCACTAGCATATTTCTTTCTGTACAGTTAATTTGAAACAAAGCGGAGTGGTTTGAATTGTTTAGAATCATTATTATTTTTCAAGTGCACTGAGAGGAACCAATTTTCTTTAAACAAGAATTTGTAATACCATGAGTCAGGAAAGCTTTGCTCTGCTGTGGCTAGGATAGAGGAGATGGGACCCCAGACGGATGCTCTGCACCTCATTCAGTGAACATTTTAGAGCTCATCTGGCAGAAGTAGGTTCCTGGAAAGACTGGATGTGTTACTATTAGACTTTCTTTGGTGCTGATAGGAAAATGGTAGCCTCTAATGTAAAAGGGAGTGTTTTGAAGTCATTCCAATTATTTGTTTCACACTTAGACCTCCTGTGAATTGTACTATATATATTAAAGCCATATTTTCTATAATGAAAAAAATCACTGTGTTGTATATGTAGAACAAAATAATTCCAAACACATATTGGAAATGCTGCTTTGTTGTTATTGTTGTTGTGGTGGTTGTTGTTTGTGGTGTTATAAAGACTGTACAGTATTAATAGAGCACAAACAAACAGTGCCACACAATTACCAAGGGTGATATTTGGTTAGTACCTACTGGTAGAAACCTTCTTTTTTTATATATATTTGCCATTGATGTACATTGTACACTTTTTAAATTCATAAACAACTTTACTATAATTTTATACATTTAAAAGTAAGGCTTATTAAAGAAGGATCATTATTAATAATAGTTCCTTCTTTTTACATTATTTATTTATTTATTGAATATTTTATTTACATTTCTGATGTTATCCCCTTAACCCATTTCCCACCTGCTCAGGAACCACCTGTCCCATTCCCCCTCCTCCTGCTTCTATGAGGATGTGCCCCTACCGACCCACACTCCCACATCTCTACTCTTGAATTTCCCCACACTCAGTGTCCAGCTTTCATGGGACCAAGGATCTCCTCTCCCACCTCTGCCCGACAAGGCCATTCCCACCCTACATTACAGCTGGAACCATGGGTCCCTCCCATGATACTCCCAGGCTGATGGTTTAGAACCTGGGAGCTCTGGTTGGTTGGTATTGTTGCTCTCCTCATGGGGCCACAAACCCTTTCAGCTCCTTCAGCATCTTCTCCCTAACTCCTCAATTGGGAACCCTAAATCAGATCAATGGTTAGCTGTGAGCATCTTCCTCTGTATAGTCAGACTCTTGCAGACCTCTAAGGAGACAGCTATATCAAGCTCCTGTCAGCATGCACTTCCTGACATCCACATCACTGTCTACCTTTGGTGACTGCACATGGGATGGATACCCAGTTGGAATGGTCTCCAGACGGCCCCTCCTTCAGTTGGGCATAATGATACAATCCTCAACTAAGTTTTTATTTTTATTTTTTTGAGGAAAAATACTTCAAACTTCAACAACATTTTCAGACAGAAAGTCACTGCAGGTGTTTGGGAGATTGATTGATTTAACTGCTATGATTTTTCCCAGTTATTTAGTAGATGGGAGCCCTTACCATGCTTTAAAATGGCCATAGCCACTGTCCCTAAACTAATAGTATGGAGCTAAAGTGGAAAATGCTTGCTACATTTTGGGTAACTCATTGTTGGCTCAGTTTTTGACATGTAGCTAAATCATAATATACTTATATTAGAATAAAAGGATAAACAGTATTTGTATTTTCAGGTTCCTTTTGTCATATTTATGCTATACTTACCCCACAAAAGATATTTGTGGGGAAGTTTCATGCTGTGTGCTAAGTTTATAAATGTCAAGAAACTGAGGTTCCTTCAGCCATCATTTAACTTAGATGCTAATGAGAATAGAAGATATCAATTAAATAATTACATGGCAAATCAAGTGATTATATACTTTAATAAATGTTATGACAGAAATAAATTTAAGTACTGTGAGATGGAATATGTAGGGAACAGCGTTTATTGTAGGCAAAGCATTCCATGGAAATTGCGTTCAAATCCAGGGTGACCTATGAAAACAAATGAGATGCCCCAAGGCTAGCTGGCAAATACTTAGAAAACCAAACTTATTTCACAAGGGTTTGTACTTAGTGAACACAGAAAATTGTTTTAAAAAATGCTGTTTATATCCTACGCTCCATGAGCTGCTGTTGGAGAGATTTAAGCTTAGGACTTGTGTTCTAAATTGGTTCCTAAGTCTTTCCCTGTAGCAATAGTTTCTAATGACTGGAAAGAATTAGGCCAAGCTAAGAGAACACAAAAGGGAATTGTTTGGAGTAAGTGATAGGAACCAAGAGAAAAGCTACTGCCATCTGAACTGGAAATTCTTCATTAATAAGAAAGGGAATGCTGGGTTTAGGGAAGCTGAAAAGATAGAATTCATATCTTCTTATTACATTAGTGGTTTGCAGGCTTCTCCTCTTCTCCATCTGTAAACATCTACCTAAAGTTACAATTTCCTGCAGTCTTAAAACACTGCCTTATAAGATCACCATAAGGTGAGTGGACTTCTGCTGCCTGGAAAAATTTGTGGTCATTCATTGTTGATGATCATAATGCTTCTTTAAAATCTTTACACTTTACTTATTTGCTCACTGTTTTAAAAAAAAGATGAGTGTCTTTTAAGGTGTAACTATTATTAAAATGTTATTAAAATTATATTTTTTTAGTGTTCATTTTCCATGTAAACTACAGAAATTTGTTTTCTAGTAAAACAGTTCTCATATTGTGCCCTATAGGTTTCTACACTCACAGTTTTTAGGATTTACTGAGCTAGTTTTGTTTACTTCCCTTATTTTTTCTTGCCTATTAATAATGATACATGTTTGAGTAATATTTTATTTTAGAATTTGAACTGTAGTTTGGGAAATTTTAAGATGCAGGCTTAACCCACATTGTATCAACCTTTGTATTTTCCAATAGAAAAAAGAAAAAGGCTCCGTCATGATACAGAACAATGCCTATGCGGTAGCTGTTGCCAACTATGCCCCGAACCTTTCCAAAGATCCTGTCCTCTCTACCATTTCAAAAAGTGCAACGACGCCAGAACCAAACAAGAAGCCAGAGAACAAGCCAGCTGAAGCCAAGAAAACCTTCAACAGTGTCAGCAAAATTGACAGAATGTCTAGAATAGTATTCCCAGTTCTGTTTGGTACTTTTAATTTAGTTTATTGGGCAACATATTTAAACCGGGAGCCTGTATTAGGGGTCAGTCCATGAATCTAGACATTGGTTAATTTCGGGCTGTATAGTAATGTTACACTTGGTTTTTGTTTTTTAGTTTTATTTTTGCTTTGTACAGTCTGACTAATAACTGCTAATTTATGACCCAATATGTATAGTATGTATATAATGGTAGAGTTTACCAGTAGACCACTAAAGGAGACCTGCATTTGCTAACTCATGGAAACACAGGCAGAAAACTTCCCGTGCCAAAAGAGCCATTGCCTTTTTACCACATATACCTAGGACCTAGTTTAAGGTGGATTTCAAATCCCGTAATTTATTTCTTAATGTTCTAATTATGATGAAAGTTGGACTCCTATGTCACACTTTGGGATACCTTTGATTTAGATATTACATAGAAAAAATATTTCTACTGTTGCCTAAGGATGATCAGAGATTAATATTGCCACTCAAATATATGAAACAGCTAAACCTCTGGCCTGGTTGCTTCAGGAGTGTTCAGAATCCTTGCTAGTGTAATTGGAAGCTTGACACACATAAGGAGAAGGCTGGAGATGTGAAAACAGTGTTTAATTACTATGTAGCATATCTATATCCATGTACATATTACAAGCATGACAAGCTCAAATAACTATGAGTCACCATGACAGGATGTTAATTATGCTTAAATTTAATAACTATTGGAATGTCACAGTCATTATATTTTTAGCTTCAGAGTTCATTTGAGCGTAGTAACTGAAACTTTCAGCTCACTTCAATCATTGGAAACTACTTAACATTAAAAAAATACATAAGAAGAGGATATATGGACTTAGTCTTTCCAGGTATGTGTTGTCAGCTGAATTTTTCTGGTGCTGGAGAATGGAAGAAAGCAGCCATCTTGGCTGCAATGGAGCAAAGTTCACTCATATCAGATTAGAAAGCTGTGCCAAAAACTCCAAGCAATGAGAATTCATAGGTGTCCCAGGTACAGATGAGCACTTATATGATTCTCTTCTTTCCTGTTTACTGCAAATTCTGCCTTAAGGCTTCTTCTCATCAGGGCTCAGAAGCCGCTAATTTTAAAGGAAAGGGCAGTTAATTGGCACATTTTTCTGTCTGGAAAGCAGCTTTTTTTTCAGACAAGAATTAATGTAAATCTGCTTTTGTAAATCGCAACTTTCAATTTCATTGACTCGAATTTACAGCAGCTTTGTATACCAGAAGAGGTTTTGGTAAGAGTTGAACATTTTTAAACAATGACTTTAAGACATCATAAACAGATTATGGATTATGTCACACACACAGACACACACGCATGCACTCACGCACGCACACACATACACCCCACGTAGCTAAATTAGAAAACATGATTTTCAATTTTATAAAATTACTGATTGTTAATGGGTAAAATTCATTTCTTCTTTTAATATATAAAATATTATTTACACCCCTGATATATGCCCCTGAAATAGGCTAAAGTTAAGTGTTTCTGTGAAAACTAAATTTGCCTATGACTGATGTGTACATTAGCAGTTATTAGTTGACTTTTAAAATTAAACGCACCTTCACAACGTTTTTGTAGAAATTAAGTAGTCAAATTGTGGCATTTCTTGCAATTTTGTACAGTATTTGAGTATAGTGCAAACCAGGTCTGTTCACAAAATCAATAAAAGGGGCATCTTCTGGAAATAAGCAAACTCTCAACAAAAAAATCCCAGCTGTTCTTTGCCTCATTCGACTTCTACATTTCCTTTTCTAGTGTGATTTTTACTATGTGCTTTGCATGACTGTATCCATACGAGGGTCACAGCTTCACCTTATTAACAGAATTCGCTATGAAGACAGCCTTGGCCTTAAAACCTTCCTCAGAAAAATAAAAAGTAATCCATCAATCGTAATAAAAATATTATATGAGCCAATAAATGCATTTTGTTAATTCCCTTTCAGTAACATCATCTTTATTATCTAAATGAGTTTTAGAGTGTGAATATTGCCCATTCAGTGAAATGAAATATACTCTGGTCTCTTATATACTTATCTACAACAAAGGCTCTTGAGGATAAGTTCGGGATGGGTGCAGAAGTGGGGTGATATTTGAAGGCAAGTGGTAAGATGCTTTGTATTGTGTATTTTGTCAATACTTTAAGAGCAATTTAGGGTGGCAGAAGAGAGCTCAGAGGTTAGTGGCACATATTTCTCTTGCAGAGGACTTGATTTCAAATTCCCAGCACCTACATTGTAGCTCACAATTACCTATGATATGAGCTTCTTGAGATCTGACATTCTCTTTAGCATTACATTCTGACATTCTTGATAGCATTACACATATGTTCACATACCCCGTGATCTGACATAATTGAAAAAAAGAAAATAAATCTTTAAATAAGAAAATAAATAAGAAAGAAAGAAAATAAATCTTTAATCTTTTTTATCCTCATGTCCCACTTTTTCAGTGTTTGATTATAGGTTACATTATTATAAATATGTGCATATATAAAAATAGTTCTAAATAATTTTGACAGATAAACAGAAAAACCATTTGTATCTTCAACAAAGTGTTGGGATTATGTTGATAGTAGTGCTTATGCTAGTTTTTAAATTAGTTTTGGTTTTTATTTATGGCAGTCAGAGTAGAAAAATAATGTTACTGTTACTCATTGAAATAATGTAGCTGAAAATTTTCATTTCAGTCATGAGAATCATATTTGAATCTGATGACATTTTGATAGGTTAGACTTCCCAATTGTGTCATTCAGAATTTCCTATTGGGTCTCTGACTTTGCTGTATTTTTATATATTTCTTATATGAAAACATCTGTCATATTGCAGACACAGACTCCAGGTAAACATATAATTTTTTTATTATAAATACCTAATCTATATAAAGATATCATTTAATTTAATACTGAAAGTTTATGAGCTATAGATCTACTAAAATGGGACTGTGCTTCTTTTTCTCCTACTTTCCTTAACAATAAAATATGGGGAGATGATGAACATAAAATATCCATTGTTTTTACCTGACAATCTTAATATTCCAAGATATCTTCAGGGAATAATTACAAATTCAAACACATCTAGATAAATAAACTCTTGGTAATCCCCTTCAATAGTTCACAATTTATTTAAAATAAACAAAACATCATTTCAGTCACATTTTATTTGGGTATTATTTTACATCAAGTCTATATCTCTCTGTCTTCTATCTATCATCTATCTATCTATCTATCTATCTATCTATCTATCTATCTATCTATCTACCTATCATCTATGTACCTACCTACCCACCCTGGCACATCAATTCTTTGTGAGGCTAAGCGTATCCTCTCCCAGTGATGCCAGACAAGTCAGCCCATCTAAAAGAACATATCTCATATGTAGGTAACAGCTTTTGGGATACCCCCCACTCCAGTTGTTTGAGACCCATATGAAGACCAAGCTGCATATCTGCTACATATGAGCCACAAGGCCTAGGTCCAGGCTTTATGTGTTCTTTAATTGGTGGCTTTTTTCCTCTGAAAGCCCTGACTGTCCAGGTTAGTTGAATCTGTTGGTTTCCTGTAGAATTCCTATTCCCTTCAGAACTTACTGCCTCCTGTTCTTCCATAGCTCCAGCTACAGTTTGGCTGTGTGTATCTGCATCTGTCTGAGTCAGCTGCTGGGTGGAACTTCTCAGAAGCTGTGTGGATACTTTGTTTTTTTTTTTTTTTTTTTTTTTTTTGGACTGGCCTCTCATCATTCTATTGAGAATGAAGGAGGCCACATGTACCCTTTTGCCAAGTGATGGTGTCTCAGCAGCTGCAAAGGACTCATTCTGTGTGCTCATGTGTGCTTTATACCCTTAGACACTGACCTGTGAAAGAGACATTTCTTACTTAGCTGAAATCTTGAGACAGAATACTAAATATGTGATACCTGTTATTAAAATTTATAGATCCAAATATTTACTTCCATATTTTGAAGCAGTTATTAGATATGTTTTCATTTGAAATGATTCAAAATTTTAAGGGAACCATGAAAAAAATCACATGCTGATTCAAACTACCACTTATTTTTATTAATTTTATATCGCATTAATACTTCTCAATGTGCATCTGCTAGCCTGAGTATATTGTTAGTTTAAAGGCAGTAAACCATATTTTATTGAAACAGTTTATGACACAATGTGAATGAAGCATGAAGTTACTATCTCATATAACAAAGACAGATCAATTTGCAAAGATTAATATCAATATGATAAGTACAAGGTTTACTTACTAATTTATACACAGAAATTGCCCCACCTGAAGTTAACGTTTAAAGAAGACAAGCAAAACGAAGATATGTGCAGTCAAACTTTAATGTATGTATATTCACAATCATGAACACAGCACGAAACATACCTATAGCCATGTGTACAAGGCAAATTACAAGATATTTCTCTATTGATTTTATGTTTTAAAATGAAAATATGCATTGATTAAAAATAATATCACTATTTATGTTGAATTTATTTATATTTTCCTTTAGTTTTTAACAGTTCTTACTTTTAGCAAATTCAAAAAGCAGAATGATAAAAAAATACTATAGGTAAAAAGGGGGCATTATTAATTGAAATAACTGAAGTATCTTTCCCCTTTAACTCATAAGAAAGTGGAAAAACACACACATACACACACACACACACACACACCAAATATTACCCTATTACTCCAGTCAATATTTGCAAAACTGTAATCCCCGTGTGGCAAGAAGTTCTGCAAGGCTGTAATCTCATATGATAAACACACCAGTCAACATATACTGTTAGAAAAAATTAGCAAAAATAAGGTAGGGGTTTTCCGCCTTTGGTTTGCATTTATGTTCCTATATTTTTAAGATTATATATCCAGTTCTGAAGCCTCTACATACTTTACAATGTAACAAAATCAAGGAAAATATATCCTTCATGCACCCAGCATCCACATTTATGCAGTTGCCCCTGCACTAACCTTGACTACTAACTCATTCTTAAGAAATTCTTGAATTTTTCTTATTTTGGTTCATAGGTATTCATCAGGTATTTTAAAACTTCTCAAATGAAGTGCTACTCTGTGTATTTCTTTATGTTTTCTAATTTTGACAGCATTTTTGTTTTCTATATTGTTAGTTTTGTGACATTCAGATCTACTGGACTTAAAGGATTTTGTATTATTCTTATCAATCCTTTCATTGTAACTCATGATTTGTAGAAACAAAAAAAGCCTAAATTGAGATTCCAAATGAATGTTCTACCTATGACTGTGGGGTAAGGAGTATCTCTCTTGGCATGATATTTTTAGTTTTCCTGCCTATGTAGATTTACTTCCTTACAACAGACTGCCATGTGTGGGCCAGTGTTAATGGATGATCATGAAGGAATCATTATGGGAGCAATGCAACATGTCTCTTTCCACATCCTCTTGTCCTTATATAACTAGAGGCAGAAGTTGGGTTCTACTTTAAATCTGCAAGATGATTAATGTACAAAGAGAATGACTTTCCACTAATGAGCATCCACTGTCCTAGATTAAACTTGTCTGTCTTTGTTTCCTTGTTGGTCTTTAGTGTCTTTGCCCTTCTTTGTCTGATGTTTATTGACAGTGTATTATTGCTTTGGAGTATTTCCTGAGCAGATACAAATTCACACATCGGTGATCTTGTCACAGGGGAGTAGAAGCTTTAAGGCAGAACCCTCTCAGGAGGAGTCTTGCGTGGAAATTTTCCCCTTTTTTGTTATTTTTTTCAATTGTCTCCGAGATATATCTTTTGTTTAATTATTGCTTACTAAACTAAGTTTAAATATCCACCATGCGTTTCTTTTGGATAGAAGAAAAATATTTGTAAATGAAGGTATTCCTCCATCAATAA